AAAGTAAAAAAGATCAAGGAAGAGAAAGAGGGAGAAGTGAGAGAAAAGGAAGAGAGAAAAATAGGAAAGAAAAAAATAAGAAAAGTAGATTATTTGATGTTTGACCATATCTCGAGTTTTACAGAGTCAGACAAGTTTGAGGATGGATTGAAGGTAGGTAGGTGTTAAGGACAACACCAATTTTAAAAAAGAGGCTATTATTAATTCCAAGGAAAACAAAAAGTTGTGCAAGAAAGGAAGTATGACCATAGTATACTACATAATGGAATTGTGGTGTGTTATGCAAAAATCACTCACGTAAATATGGAATACTTCAGAATCATAATTTGTGATATATCCAGTTATACTGAGAGCTCAGGGGAGGAATAAAGAGACCGTGTGTGTGTGTGGGGGGTTATGTCTGTTTGTGAAGCAGTAGTATAAGCAGGTTAAATCCTCATCTTCAACAGAATGGAATGACTGAAAAACTGAGGAACAGCAGTTGATGGAGATAAAATAAGAGAAAACAACTTAAGAATGGAGGGGATGAAGCAGAGGACTCTCCTCAAAAGCCTTGCAGTCTGATTTAATTTTGGAAACTATGTCGTGTATTATTTGAATGAGATAAACAATATATTTTAAGGAAACTAAACAAAGGAGCTCCAGGTTTTTAAAGTCAAGAAAAATGCATCTTCAAAGAGATTTCCAAGATGGCTGTGAATACTGGAGCTCTGTTCTTTTTGTGGGGATTTTATTTTATGAAAAGCTCATAATAATATACCTCACATGGTACCCAAACACATTTTAGAAAAATAAAACTGGAAGAGGAAAATACTCGATAAAATATGAGCATACGTGTTCTCATTGTGATACAAACAGCCACACATAGCAAACACATATGTAAAGAATAAAGTAGCACAGTAGCCTGTGATTTAGCTAATCCTATGACAGTAATCCTAAAAATTAACATCACGTTTTGGAAATTATTCACTTTCCACTATTCCATGTAGGAATTATTTTTAGGCTTTGGGTATCCCTGTAACCTTCCTTGACCCGCAGACAGCCCTTTGCTTTTGGTTTACTTCTTTCATAGTTGCTCCATTATTTTTTTGTTTGTCAGACACAGAGACTGAGTTTGCTGTCCCAGCAATCTCATTGTTGTTCTATTGGTTCAAGATAACCACCTCCTATCAAAGGATTCTTTTTAGACCTGTCTTTCCGGTTCTTCTATTTGATCTCAAAAACAGCTCGGTGTTATTTTTGCTAATGCTCTCTCCACTGGAGCTGATAATCAAGTAAACATATTTTTGGCTTGAACTTTGATAATTGCCGTGTTTAATGATTATTAAACATTGTTACGTTGGAGACACAGTGTTAGGTACTATGAAAAAATAGCAAAAACAGAGAGACAGAGACAGAGGAAAGAGAAAGAGAGAAACAGAGAGAGAGAGACAAAGAGATCCTGTCTTTGAGAAACGAGATTAGGAAAAGATAATAGACATGACCAAAGTAAGTTCTGGTTATTTCAACCCAGAAATAGATACTTTAAAAATTAAAAAGCAATCCAGAAGGTCCAATACATGATGAAGTTCCAGAGAGTAAAAAAAAAAAAAGAAAGGAAAAAAAAAGAAGACAAGAAGAAAGAAAAGAAAAAGGAAAGAAGAAATGATCAAAGAAATAATACAAGAACATGACCCAGAGAAGATTCTAAACACTTTCTCTGGGTTATTGGTGGAAATATTGGCGGAAAATTTATTGATAGTTCCTGTCACTGTCTTAGCTGAAATTTGATGGGAATTAAAGAGAAGTGAAAAGAGGATGTGGAGAAAGAAAGGAAGAGAGTGAGTGAGAGGTGTGGGTTTTAGAACTATCTCCTGAAGCAGGGGGGAATTTACAACATACGTAAATGAATAGAAATAACAGTATCACATCCATCCAACTGGCAAAGTGGATAAATAAGGATTTTTTAAAAAAAGAATTAGTGAAGCATAAACCTTTTTTTTTTTTTAAACAGGGGCTTTCCTTTGCTGAAAAAGTATTTTTCCTGAAGGTAGAATTAACATACATACAGGATAGAAAATTTAGAAAATTCAGTAAAGTATAAAAAGGAAAACAATAATCACAATTTTACCAACCCAAAATACCACTACTCCTAATGTTCTAGTTACTCAATATTTTTCTACACATATTAAAAAACACAATCTGGACTATCACATACAAGCTAATGCCAATCTGATTATTTCGATCATCTTACAAGCATTTCCATGTGATTAATCATTCATTAATATCATCATTTTCGTGTACCTTGTTGATTTTTCCAAGATATTTATTTTGGTCCCCATTTTTCATGATCGTAAACTAAACCATGGGCATAATCTTTGTACATAAATCTTTGTCCAGTATTCTAAGTCTGAGGAATAACATGTAAATTCTGAGTTGTGGCATCATTTGATAAAACATATTGGAAATTTTGAAATAAGCTTTTTTCCCCTGGTTTGTGATTCACTCTTTAAAAAAATATCCAAGTATACGCGAGAAATGGCATCTTCTGAGAGAAATGGCATTTTCTGCAAAGATCCCAAATAAGTAAACATCCATATTAAGATAATTATCTTGGAGTAAATGTTTCAGTATTACTGGCTTTGGTATTCCAGTTCTTCAGTAAAACTAAGTGCTCATCGTGATCCTTGTGGTCAGCAAAGAGTAAAGTGAATTTTCACTAGCAACAGCAGAAAACAAATTTGAACTGCACCTATATATAATTATATTTTATATCTTGTCTGTAATTTGAGCTCATATTTGTGCAATGGACTCGCATATAGTGTAATTAACTATTCTGAGAGCTGTGTAAATACTGCTCCACAATCAGATAAAAGCATGAAATAAATGGTATGTTTGCAGAAAGATATTCACATGTTTATATACGTATTTTGAAGCTCGTTTCAAACAGTGGTGAGTTAATATTTCATTAAAAAGTGTGCTTTTGCTTGATGGTTCTTTTTGAGGTTAAGAAGTGATTATTCTAATAAGGCCTCAAAAAGGCAGACTCCGTCCACTGTGAAAGTACCTCGTGAGATGGAAGGAAAGAGGAGGAGCCCACAGATTTAATCCAGAAAACCATCACTTTTGTTTCTACACTTGACTGAGTCCTTTCAAAACATGACCTCTGCAGCTCAAGGCTTCGGTTACTCATAGTTAGGCAAGCATAAGGATCTGAAATGAGTACCTTTAAAATTCATGTTCCAGCAAAGACAAGAACTTTGTCCCAAGTTAGCAGATTTCAAAAGACATTTAGTGAGGGGGGGGGTGAGGATGGGTTCACATTGCACCCACATGTCTGCAGAGCCTGTGAGTTGGAATTAATCATCTTTGGTCTGGCTCGGAGAAAACACTCTACTGTCGCTCACGTAAAAACAGCCAACGTAGAAGCACAATTTGTATTAGGATTAACAACAGACCATTCTGACAGCTTGTGATCTCATAAACCCCTGACTCGTCTGGCCTACAACAAACATCCCTGTGTGTTGCCTGTATTTTTGCCTCCTTCAGAACTCAAGACTGAAGTGTATAAAATGTTGCATTTTCCAACGGTGCTTAAAAAAAAAAAAGAAAAGAAAAAGAAACCAAGATAAAACCTAAAAGCTCACATTTCAATGATATTTTTCTACCAGCTACTGATTACAGCTGGTGTAAACCAAGCTATATTTTTATTTCTCCAGACAGGATTTCTCCGGAGCTGGCCGGCATGTGCAAACAAGAAACCACTGTGGGGTTTTGGGGTTGGGAGGCGGTGAAGGCCAAGAATCAAGCCATAGAGCTCAGGCCTGTCTCTGCAGGCCGGCACCACCTCCCGCTCCGCAGCCTCCATCAAGCTTTGGGAGGGTGAGGGCGGGGAGGGGCGCCCATACAGGGAGACGCCAAGGGCCCCTTGTGGTGCAAGACCTGCCTGCACTACTTCCCAGTCCTTCTACTGCTTCCAATCATGGACACATATCCAAGTGCTAGATAGAACCTGCTTGCACAGGAGAGGCCTTAATGCAAAGAATTTTCCGCAAAATCCCCAACTACGACGCAAATGTCAGAATCCTGAGAGGCCTGAGGCACAGAGTAGCAGTTGGTGGTGACATGGTGGCTCCAGTGAGCTCACCCAGGTTGGAGAAGTCAGTAGAACAGCACATTTCCCCACTCCGCCCAGGGAGATGAGGTGTTAAGGGAGCTTTGGCTGCTTGCTGGTCAGGATGAGGGGAGTGAACGCTTGTCATAGAGGATTCACTCCCCACCCGGCTGCCACTCATGTTTACCACAGATCGGGGACAGCCCTACAACCCTAAACCAGGAGGTCGTGAAGGAAGACAGTGGGCAAGAGGAGAATTTATTTAGATCCCGCACTAAGATAGAGTCACCATCAACTTCCCCTGAGTTAGAGCTAAATGCTTCGGGAAGGTTCGACTGCACTCCCAAGTCATGAGGGTGAAATAGCTTCTAATTGCGCGGGCTTGGCGACCAATGTTTGAACACTGAATGGTCCTACAGAAATCTACCCTCCACTTCCCTCCGAATCTACAGAAAACTCTCCCACTTAAACATCAAGACTCCACATCTCCATCATTCACAATTCAGTCCGAGGGGGGTTATCCAGGGCCTCCCGAAATGCTCTCGAAATGCTCGGCCTTGCTACCACCCCGAGTCCAGGACTGTGACCTGGGAGAGAAGCCACAGAAGGGGCAGCATGTTTTGTCCTGCAACCTCTGCGTCCTGCCTCTCTGGGGGCACGGACTTGACCGAATTTCTGGTTCCTTATCCGCTGGCAGGAAGCAAAGAAGTCGGATTCCCAGGCATTCGAACACAGGAAGGCCTATGGTCAATCTTCCCCACCCCTTAGAAGAAGGGGAGGGGGGACAATCCAAAACCTAAACCTGGTGACCACCCCAAGGATGGACAGGAAGGTTCAGCAGGTAATGGGAGCCTCCACCCGAGCGCCCCCCCACCCCGGCTGGGGTGCGGCTCACCCCCACCCTTACCTGACCGTGGGACGGGAGCGCGGCGTAGGCCATGGGCTGGGGCATCGTGGCCTTCTGCTTCAGGAGAAGCATGCGCTTCTGCTCCTCGCTCAGGTGCGCCCTGGGGGCCTGCAGCGGCGGTGGCTGCGGCGGTGGCGGCTGGATGTAGGGCATCAACGGGTTCTTGTTGGGGTTGGCCATCGGGGGGGTCATCCTCTGACTCAAGTCTGCGTTGAAATGGGTCAGAGGCTTAGTGTTGCCGTAAGTGAGAATATTGTGCTGCTTGTTCAAGGAGTTTGTACCCAAGTTATTTGGCTGCTGATTGATCATATTCATGTGGTTCTGAGGGAGGTAGTTATTCATTGTCGTCTTCTGCAGGTTGTTTGCCATGGGAGGCACTATGGGGTTTTGGTTGTTAAAGGCTTGGGGGTACATCATTGGGCTATTTGGTTTTTCCGCAGCGAAAGCTGCTCCGTAGGGGCTGGACGGGGGCCCTAAGGGAGACCAACTGGAAGTCTGGTTCGAGTGCTGCTGCTGCTGCTGCTGCTGCTGCTTCTGTTGCATGAGTTTGGCCCTTTGCTGCTGCTGTGCAGCCATCTGCTTGAGCTGCTCCGCCGGGGACATGTCGGAGCCGGCCACTGCCACCGGGCCCGACGCGGAACCGGCCACGGTCACTGCTGCGGGATTAAGGAGATAGCCGTTTCCAGGCCGAGGTGGAGCCTGGCCTGGTGTGTGGCCTTGGTTCGGAGTCTGAGGGGACTGGACGGCACAGTTTGCTGGTGAGCTGGCGGGGTTCAGAGCTGCGGGAGTGCTGGCAACCGAAGGTAAACTAGTGGCCGTGGAGACGGTAGAAAAGGGAGGGCCAGAAGAGGAAGGCCTGGCCTGGGGGGATCCCATGGAGACGTGTGCAAAAGGAGAGTGAGAGGGGTCGCTCTTCACACTCGCACTCTCCTGGGAGAGGGGGGTCTCCGTCGCCGGCTGTGAGAATTCGGGCTCCTTCTTCTCTTCAAAGTCTTCGTTGAACAGGTCCTGTATGTCATCTTCGGGGACCGTGTTGGCCAACTCATCTATTAATTCTTGCCACTCCTGATCGTTCAGGTTGATGTCCGAGAACAGCTTGTTCTGATTCGAAAGAGATGTTTCTGATGTGTCTATGCAAGTAGGGTCGTCTAGAGGTTCTTGTTTGAGCTCCTTGCTCTGCAGGATGGTGAAGCTGTCCTCCAGGTCACTGCAACCATTGACAGGGAGTTTGATCTCTGGAAGCCTACCATTCTTACTCAGATCTTCTAGAAGCCCAGGAGTGTGAGTTCCACTATTCTGCAAGGGCAACGAGGGCTTCAGGTCAAGTTGGTGAAGAGGAGAAGCTGAAGGCAGTGGCATGTTGATGGTTTCCATTCCTGTAGGAATGTCCTTGCGTATTCTCTTGCTAGTTGGAGAAAAACTCCCGTCGCAAGCACCATTCTGCTGGTCTCCGTTCAGCGGTGATCGGGCTCCTTCCAACTTCCTTTTCACAGTCTCCTGGAGCTGGAAAAGCAACAGGAAAGAGGGTGAGGAGATTTCCAAGTTATCGTTTACTCTTTGGGCAAGGTGACGTGCGATTGCTGTGAACGAACTTAGAAACGCTTTATAACACGCGGCAAAGAAGTTCTACATCGAATCTCAAAAGTGGCCAGGCTTCAAATCCTGTGGGAAAAGGTTGTATCCAAAAGAAGAGCTCATAAGGCTAAGAGGTAGAAAACAACATAGATTGGAGTGCGGGGAACAAAAGAAAAAGAGACAGTTAAAGGCAGTACTTCTCCTACAGCAAGGAATCCTCTACTATTATTTTTCAAAGAAACGCAAAATGTGAGACTTGGCCCAAAATGTGTTATACTTGAGAAAGATGTTAATACCCATCTCAGCTTTTTCTCACATCTTAACTGAAGACATCAAGGAATTAAATCAACAATATTTAAAAAAAAAACACTAAAAACCCTTTAAGAATATGGAATTTAACACATTTACTGAATAGCACAGACATGAAGACTCATGGTTAGCATAACCCACAGCTTCCTTTCGGCTCTTATTTACTTGACCACCCCGCACCTCGTGAGGCGGCAGCCCGCTCTGCTCGACAAGCCTGCTTTCATTGCTCTCCTTGCCATCACATTTTCCCGGATTTCCTTCTTTCTCTCCATCTGCTCTTTCTCAGTGTCCTACGTATTCTTCGTTCTTTCTCCTAAACGATGCGTAAGTGTTTGCTCCTGCCCACTCTGCGCGCTCGCCTACGTGGTTTCATCCACTACAACAGCTTCAACCACCTTCTCTAGGCGGACAACCCTGTTAACAATGTCCCCAGTCCAGTCTTCTCTGCAGAGTTGCACCAACTCCAGCGTCTTCTTTCTGGATGTTTCATAGGCATCTAAAACTCAACAATGTCTCAAACATGATCCTCCCCCATGCGCCCTATCTCGGTATCTACCCTGTTCCCTACTCAATATCTACTCACTTGCCCCAACTGGAAACCTGAGCATTCTTCTCAAAATGTCTCGCATCGCCAACCACCGAGTCCTGTGGATTGCACATCTTGAATATCTCGCTGATACACCCACTCCGAGGCCAGGATACCATTTTCTCTTGCTGACTGATTGCAATAATCTTCTAACTGGTCTCTCTGGCTTGCCTCCATTCATCCATCCAATCTATTCTCTATACTGCCACCGCTTTCGAGAAATGTATTGCCTTTCCTGTTTATAACTCTGCAATGATTTCCGTTGCCTTTAGTTTAAAATCCAATCTGAGCCTACTTCACCTAGTTTCTGCTCATCATTCCAGGTTCATCTTCTTGCTTCTCTGTTTAGCATCACCTCCCTGTCTCCTGCCAAACATTTTCTATCAACTCCCTTGAAAGTCTTTCAGTTTCTTAGATGTGCCAAGGTTCCTTCCACCTCCAGAGCACTGTACACGTTGCTTTCTTTTCTCGGGACAGACTTCTTCCTTCCCTCCTCCCCTTCCTCAGGTTAACAGCTACCTATCTTGCAGATTGTAGTCACTTCCTCTAGGAAATCTTACATTGCTTCCCCACCTCAACTACATTAGGCACTTTGTTTGACCCACCTATATACTGCATCGGATATCCTGGAATAGAGGTTCCAAGCAACCTCTACTTCCTCATTAGAGCTCCTACCATACTTCGAGGTGATTGCCTGAGTGGCTGTTTAGTGTGTTCCAAGAAGGTAGGTACTCTGATTTGCTTACTGTGTATCTGTGGGGCTGCACCTACTGTTCAGGTTCATAGCAGGAGTTAATAAATAAGGGCAAACTGAATGATTAATTCTATTGTGTGATTCACAGGAGCTGAAAGAGGTGAGTTTTAATCAGAGCTGGAGAGCACGAGAGCAGGAGGGAGCCCCATTGACCATAAGGAATACCCCCTTTCGTGTGTGTGTGTGCCATGGGTTTGGCTTACTTATAGGAAAGATCTTGTTTGCATAGATTGCTAGCAATTTAGCGTGCAATCAAACAGAGGGCCCCGGTGCGCATGGCCTGTGGTGGATGAAGCCGTGTGATGCTCCTTCAGCCCAGGCGCAGCGTCATCCATCTGCAGCCCCAGCCTTTTGAACAGATCCCTGAGGCCCCTAAAGGGGACTCTTTTGCTCCAAAAGCTGCAGGTCAAAGCACAGCCAGACCTCCCCAGTGGGGACCTCATGCAGCAGGAGTCCACGGGTTGTGGGGCCTTTGCTTCCCTGTTCTGTGGAAATTTTTGCCACTGTGGCTTCCGTATGACCCAGGCACTGAGGTTCCTGATAATGGGAAACATACCAGTTAAGGGTTGTGTCCACTTAACTGGACTTATTTGAGAAGTCCAGTTAAGAAAACTGTTGCCAACTCTATGGATTTATTACCTGTAAACCTAATTCACCTGTCTGCCCCCTTCCTTCCTGCCAGAAAGGGCGAGTGCGTGGGGGTCTGGTGAGATAGCGTGCCATAGGGTAGGTTCTGAGACAGTGCCTGCTGAATGACCGAAGGAAGACGAAGGCAGGTTATGAGGAGTTTCAGTACCTTTACAGAACGGAAGGCAAAAGGCAGGATGACATGGGGAGTGGGGAAGAGGCAGCGCGGCCCTCCACTTGGGCGTCGCCTGTTCTTGGCAGAGGGGCAGTGTATTGCGGAAGCCAGGGAGGACAGGTGAGTTCCCTCTGACCCCATTCCTCAGCACTCACACGTGGGGCTGCCAAGGCTCCAGAGGAGCACTGGGTGTAATCAAACCAATCTGCGGATGCTGAGGGAGATTCTCAGCAGTGCCACTTGATTGCTATTCTCTCCTAAGTAGAGGATTCCATTTCAAAAGTAAACACAAGGAGTAAAACTCCAGTCTAACTTTGTTCCTAAATCTTGTATTTTTATTATTTTATTTTGTTTTATTTTTTAAGATTTTTATTTTTATAAAGATTTTATTTATTTATGTATGAGACATACAGAGAGCAGCAGAGACACAGGCAGAGTGAGAAGCAGGGTCCATGCAGGGACCCCGATGCAGGACTCAATCTTGGGACTCCAGAGTCACACCCGGATCCAAAGGCAGGCGCTAAACCGCTGGGCCACCCAGGGATCCCCTAAATCTTGTATTTTTAATCACAACACCAAACACAGTCTGTAGTCACTTGGTGGAAGCCCCAGGTTGCTGAAAACAGGGCCTAACTGGGAAGCACTGGAATTTGACTTCAAAGAGGGTACTGGTTCAATCCACATTAGGTAGAAACTGCTGGAAACTATGTCATTTATTTAACAGACCAGGAAACCATGGTTCTGAATATAAGTATGGCAGATATTCGAACGGAGCTCCAACGCACAGCAGCAAGTTCAAATATGACAGTTCCAAGGCCTAAAGAAGAGAAGACATGGGGCCCTTGGCACCCCCCGAAGCAATGTTAAAATAATAAAAATGTCATAAAAACCAACCTGACTTTATTTGTAAAAGTTCAGGTCCATGACTCTGTTCTAGGCCATGAAATGGATGAGGCAGGATGGGGAATGAAAGATAAATGTTCTGTTTCTCTGTAAAACAATGGTGGCTGAGACCATGCTGAAGGACAGGTCTGGCTGGGAATCTCCACGTTTCACCTCTGCCCAGCTGGGGGTGGGTGGGGGTTACCAGGGTGAGGCAGTCCTGGGCAGTAATATGGAAACGGGGGCCCTGGCTCTGTAGTTACAATGCCTGGCTTCAAGCCTATGACTCTAGCTCACCCCCACCCCCACCCCCACCTACAGTTATTACATATAAATGTTGTCTGGTACTGAATAAATGTCAGCGATCATCTCCTCCATTAGAAAATGAGTCCCATGAGGGGAGGGTTTTTTTTCTGTTTTGTTCACTACTGGGTCCCTAGTAGCCCACAGTGGATGGTCAATAATTATCTGTTGAATGAACAGATCGATCCTGGAAAACTTATTTAACTTCTCTTAAGTTTTGGTTTCCTTATCCACAAAATGGGTTCATAGTATCTAGCTCGTAGAGTTACTGTGGGAACGAGCTGGAATGCAGTAATATGGAAAACACTTAGCTTCATGCCTGGTACCCAGGAAGCACCCACACAAAGCCTTAGCTATTATTATCTTTAACATTCAGCGATACCGACAGTCACAACTGCAAGTGAGATAGATTACTTTCTGGATCTCCAAACTATGAATAGGTAGAGTGATAATATTTCTGTTCCCTAGCTGGCGAAATCTTCATGTTTTCCAAGCATCTGGTGTGGCTTTTTTAATGTGAACAACAGCAATCAAATTTGCAATTCGAGCCCAAGTCCAAGTGCTAATGTATTCGTGTCCTAGATCGTAGAACGGTACTGGATGGTTGAAGTTCAAACCAAACGCATTTTCAGCATGTGACCTGAGGGCCTTTTCCTTAAGGACCTCGATCTCCACCCCTGGTCCCTTTAACCAGTACCTTGACAGGCAGCATTTGGGAATATAAGGAAGACATCATTGAACATGCCATGTTGTGGTTTTACGTTGTGTCCAAAATAGAGCAATCTTAGCGTCCCTACTGTCTGGCTCATCACCTTTTGCTATACGGGAAGGCAGTCGGTGAGTCTAACTCTCTTATTCCCTCTTGGGAGACAGAGGAGAAAAGGCAGGAAGAGATAGAAACTGTAAGGTCGAGAAGGCTGAGGAACTTGCAGGCGCTCTGCTCAATGAGCAGGAGGGTGGCTGATGGAATGTAGGGCATCCTTGTGAGCCCCTGCCACCCAAGGACTCGGGTAAGAATCTCATCCCAAATGGCTTCATCTTAGGGGGGTCCCTGGCCCTTCTGCTTTACAAAGCTGGAAGCCGCTCAGTAGGATTTGTGCCCTTGTGGAAGAAATCACAGAAACTCTTGACTGAGCATCAGCTTCCTTGTTCCCGTATTACTATTATTACGTGTAAATGTTTTCTCCCATTAAGGGAAGCCTTGGTGCCAGGAGCTGAAGGAAGCTGTTCATCCAACGCCTATGACAATATGGGCCACTGTCGTGTGTCAAGTACTCTGAAGGAAACAATTC